CGAGGTTTAAAATGCATTGTAAAAGTGAAAAATCTTTCTGGAAGCTTATGTTTTAGTTTTAATTCCAAACTAAGAGATTAAATTTAATATTCCCAATAATCAAAATACTTTGCTGTATTTCAAATTGGAATTAAATTGATTGGGATGATTTTTCTGATTATTAGTAAAATTGATAAAATAGTCCATATTGAAAAATCTGTAAACAAAACATAATTCTCTATATTAAAATCCTTTCAAAAGTAAAATATTTTCTGAAACATTATTTGAGAAAAATTAGTTGATTTAAAGTTTAATTAATTTGAATTGAAACAAATATTACTTTTAGTCTATAGTCTAAAGGCTTTTTTTTAACACGAGAGCGAGGTGTTGACACATTTATCGACATCCTAATGTTTGGTAAAATTATTTAAAGAGGAGATGATTATAATAAAATTACTTGACGAATACAACGTAAATGTCTCTTTTATGTTTTTTTTTAACTACCTTGTAATCTTAAAACTCTAATATTTTATTTAATTTTATGTACTTTGGCCTAATCTTACGAAAACACTTGTTGAGGAAATGTTAGAAAATTACTAATAAATTTTAAATTCAATATTGTTGCAGCTCTTAATTTTTATTATATCGTGTATGGGCGTCCATATTTTCAACAATTGGCACGTTTATATACACAAACAAAAAAAATTCATACAGGGAGTTGCTGAATTGTAGTAAGCTTTGCCATTCACAATTAGTAAATATAGTTTTACTCAACAATATTGCCTAGCTGATAAAAATTAGTACAGAACTTTAAAAGATTTAAAAGTTTATAAATTGTTCTAATAAAAATTTTGAAAAAGTTAAAATTCTTGTAAAAATTCATTATTCATGATTTCGTGTCCGTAATATATTTTAAATAATGTCTTAGTATTATTACATTTTTTATTTTATGATTCAGAGTAGATTTTCTGTAACTAGGTATCTAGTTTGACCCAAAAGATTTCATGATTTAAATTCTCCGAGGACTTGTACTTATAACTAATATAAACATTAAGCGATACAAAAAAATTCTCGAAAGTTCGTAAAATTAAATACGTGGGGAATAAAAAAATGTAGACAAAAATTTTTTTAACAAGATTTTCTAAAATAAGTCCTGGAAGTTTCATAAAAATTCGACAATTTTCTGATTTTTGCAAGAATTTTCAAATGAATGTTTCTTGCCGCTCAAATTTTCCGTACAATTTTAAAGTCCGGTGTTGACTCCAGAAAACATTTTTAAATTTCAAAGGTTCTTTTAAAAAAAACACGCCATAAAACACTCTCTAGTCTATCCTCTGAATAATAACATAAAGAATTTAACGATAAAACTTTTATTAAGTTCTGTGCATTTTCTTTTCATCATATATGCTATTTTTAGCGATTCTTTGGACGTACCTATATATATATATATATATATATATATATATATATATATATATATATATTTCAATAAAGGTGCAATTAATTTACAAATTCATGAATTATTCATACAAAAACAAACACAAAGGTTAATGATTTAATTGATGAAATCCATCATCAAATATTTAATTGTTGTATTGGATTTTTTGCGAATAATTCATGAATTTGTAAATTAATTTTTTTTTTTTATTGAAATTAAAATAACTGATCCAAGTGCAACTTCGGATAATAAGTGCGACATTACTGTAATTATTGAACAATATAGTTCATGCCACTTTGACGGAAAAATTTACCAGTAAAAAGAATTCTCTTATCACTATATTTGTACAAGAACGCACAACTTTAAAATTTAAATTCAAACTCAGCGTTGCGACTGCACGCTCCAAAACAATAACACATTTCTCATAGCATTTTTCGGATTACAATACATCTATTTTCGTTGTCCTCTTATTACTGAGAGTAAAAACAGGAACAAAATCTATTCCATACCTGAGGATGTCTGTAGGAACAGACGAAAGCTTGTAAAAATAATAAGAACTTATGCAACTGAAATTTATAAAACAAGGATCTTTTCATGCATAAACAGGTTCGGGGATTTGTATATTATTTGAATTGTTCGCGATGATGGATTTCTCGCCAATTAAATCATTAACCTTTGTATTTGTTTTTTGTATGAATAATTCATGAATTTATAATATATATATATATATATATATATATATATATATATATATATATATATATATATATAAGCAAATGTAAATGGATATAGCTCCGACAGAATGAAGAAAAATTTGGAAAAAACAAACCAAAAATCCTTAAATGCAATTATATTTGTTTAAAATGAATGAAAAGTCGACGTCTGACGTTTCGGTTTAATAAACCTTTTTCAAGACAATATTCATTAAAATACAATTCAGTTCAATTTGACAAAGACGATGGACATAAAAAACAAGTCTTATTCAAAACAGATAACTGAAAATTTTTAAAATGATCAGCCTTCCGTCTAACATGGTCACGTTGTCGTCATATGGGCGACGCTTTCAGAACGTATTCCTAAAAATTTTTTGATTATTTTGAATGAAAAAGAAAATGAAAAGAATTCTATTAGGATCTAAAATATTTATGTGTATGCTTGTCGAGCATTAATCTCGCTAAAAAAGGGGAAATATTAAAGAAACCAGGTCTAGTATTCACCGTGCGTGAGATGGATATTATACCTGCTTCATAAATCCTCCTGAGATTTTATTATGAAAATATTTTAATACCTTCACGGAATCGAAATCGAAATTATGATCTGCTTTAGTTGTGTGTACAACTAAAGCATTGTTAAAATTTCCGAGGCGAATATCTCGTTTATGTTCGAAAACAGGATATTTTACGGACCTACATGTTTCACCCACATATTTTAGGTCACAGTTTTTACATGATATTTGATAGATGCAAGCATCGGATGTAATATGTTGTCTGCTGGCGCTATTTTTTTATGTCCATCGTCTTTGTCAAATTGAAATGAATTGTATTTTAATGAATATTGTCTTGAAGAAGGTTTATTAAACCGAAACGTCAGACGTCGACATTTCATTCATTTTAAACAAATAATTGCATTTAAGGATTTTTGGTTTGTTTTTTCAAATTTTTCTTCATATATATATATATATATATATATATATATATATATATAGCATAATGAGAAGCCACGTAAACTAGGGTTAAATAAAGACTTGGGTATTTTAAATCTTTATAAATATTTCAATAGTTAAACATTTTTTCAAATATAGTTAATTTTTTTTTTTTTAAACATCTAAAATATTATTACAGTTAAATTTACGTTAAGAATATTCGAACACAGTGGCGTTCCATGTCACGTGGCGTCCGCATCTCGCGACGGACGCTACTTGTAAACAAACAGTTATTTCTGAAGAAAGATTGAGGTCAATCTGAAATATCAAATATATAAATAAATACCTTCATAAAAAACATTATTAGTTTTTTAATTTGCAACTTTCTCTCTCTCTCTCTCTCTCTCTATCTATCTATCTATCTACCAATCTACCTATATATATATATATATATATATATATATATATATATATATATATATATACTCGTCGACACCTGAGTGGCTAATATCCAGATTCAAATTTATGACTTATCAGGAAGGTGATAATTATAGGATAAACAACTACCTTTACAGCGTCCGTCCTTCCTTTCTATCTACACATCTATATATTTACCTGCTAATCTCGGATCCCTATCATTGCCATTCTTTTAAAAAGCATTCTATTTTTAATATGTTATAGTTTTCTCGCCGACATGTTTCCCCTCAGTTAATCGCGCGCGCTCACACGCAAACGCAGGCACGCCTACCGACACGCGCACACATCCTATAGTGTTGCCCATCTGCTACCTCGACATGACGAATTCAAGCGCAGTACTAGATTGGCAGTTAGGTCTCATCATTTTAGATGCTACCTCAACTTTAACAATTCAAGGGCAGTACTAGGTTGGCAGTTAGGTCTCACCATTTTAGATGCTACTTCAACTTTACGAATTCAAGCGCAGTACTAGGTGAGTAGTTAGGTCTCACCATTTTAGATGCTACTTCACCTTGACGAATTCAAGCGCAGTACTAGATTGGCAGTTAGGTCTCACCATTTTAGATGCTACTTCACCTTGACGAATTCAAGCGCAGTACTAGATTGGCAGTTAGGTCTCACCATTTTAGATACTACCTCAACTTTACGAATTCAAGCGCAGTACTAGATTGGCAGTTAGGTCTCATCACTTTAGATGCTACTTCAACTTTACGAATTCAAGCGCAGTACTAGATTGGCAGTTAGGTCTCATCATTTTAGATGCAACCGTAAGTTCTATGTGAACAGTTTCTTCTCTCGCACTTCTCGCTTACAAAACTCTCTCTTGGCCTCCTGCTTTTCGGTCCTCTTTGATCTAAATGCAGCTTCAATCGCCATCGTCTGCCGTTTTAATTCTGTTTTTTTCTATCGTTCTCTCTACTTAATAATGATTTTATTTCTTACTTATTCTTTCACGCTCAGTAACCTTTTGCATCTTAGTGGCTTTATTGCCTTGCTTGGAAGTGAAATGATTAAAACATTCCATTGAAACCGATTATCTGATTTTATTCGTCAATAATTTGCGAAATGTTTTCATCAACAAAAGAGAAATTCCAATAAAACCCCGACTTAAAGAGCTAATCGTGGTAGGGGGAGTTAATTCCTTAATTCGATAAATCCTTCATTTCGTAAAGAAGTGTTTTAGATCACCGCATTTAATGAACACCGTTCGTATGTGTACCTGTGGTTTAAAGCTACAATGAAACCTCGACGTGAAGAACTAAAGAGAGAGTTTTCTTTATATCCGATAGATCCTTAAATCCAGTAAATCCCCAATCTCTTAAAGCAAAAGGATGTTCTATAGATAACCGCATTTAATGAACATCGTTTGGTTAAAAGTAGGGCAGTCAGCACTGATCCTTGTTACGTAAAACTGTATAAAATATTAAAAAAAAAAACATACATATTTTTCCTTACTCATATTGAATGTTTTTTGGTGGCGTTGACGATGTAATCTTTACTTTATGCACATCACCAAGGCTTAGAAAAATTCAAAAGCGTCATACGTAGATAATCCTATCAGTTTTGACGGCTACTATGCTAGTCCCTACTAGCTTAATACGGACTCGACAGTCCCTATAGCGTCTAGCATGTCATGCTTTTACGATGGTTTTATTTCTTTTTCAAAATCTACCATTCAATGAGACGAATTGATTAAAAGCAGACGAAACTGAAAGATGACAAAAATTGAGCAAATCGCTGCTTAAAAATGCCCGTCGCGGAACTTCGAAAGAAAACCAACCGACAGTGGAATAATTTTAATTGATTTTAGCCTATTTGCAAGAATTCGATGTTTGAGGCAAAAAAAAGCTAAATTTTAATGAGAATGATTTCTTGATAAGGACTCTGATTGGTTAAAAATTATTAATGCAATGTTACGCACATTTTTGTTAGATAAAAATATCAAGGACAGAATTCCGATTGGTCAGATTCTTTTGACCCAATTTTAATCAAGGCTTGCGACTATAACACGTTGAAAGAACAGTTCTCGCAAGATTACGGAAGTTAAGCAACGTCGAGCCTGGTCGGTACCTATGTAAGTGACCGCTTGTGAATAGCAAGTGCTGTCAGCTTGGATGTGCGTGGGGTGTAATGCATAACGGCTCTGAATTGGAAATCAAAGAGCCGAGTTTCAATTGCAGTTGGGTTCTTTATATTCAATTACGCACAAATACCATTGGGAAAGGTAATAAATCCACTTCATCTCCCCCCAACTATGGGTTAATTAGTAGGACTTGTAACAGTAAATCATTATTACCTAAAGAAATTCTTACAATCTAGAAATATTTTCTGGTTTTAAATAACTCGCAAAAGGTTGATAAACCATAAAACAGGAATCAATCAAATTTAAATCAATGATCTTTTTGTTCGGATGGACAATTTAGCGTTCGTTTCCGTCCAGCATCAGTTGTTACCCAGCGTTTATTGTTATTATTATTATTATTGTAAACGCCTTCAAATGTCTCCTTTTTGTTTCCATTTTCTCAAAAACGTCATCGTAGCTCTCATGTTCTGACCGTGGCATTCTCAGTATCCTTCTGTAGAACCACATTTCTGTTGCTTCAAGTCTCTTTATATGTGCGAAGGTTGTCCATCACTGACATATAGGAGGACTGATATTACGTAATAGTTCAGTAATCTTTTCTTTGTTTCTAACGAAACTTTCCTGTTTTTAATACTTTGTTTAACTTTTGGAAGGCATCTTTCGCCACTCGTTCGGATTTCAGTGTCACACTATCCATCCGCTACTAAATCACTTCCCAGATATTTAATTTTTTTATCAGTCAGTCAGTTAGGTGGCATACGCGATACACGCTTAGGCGATCATGTATCTTTCGATACATGACAGATGAGGCAGATTTTTTTTCTCAGTAGGTTGCCATTTCTTTCTGCGGTAGACCACTTGCCATTTCTAAACGAGTATGATGCTACGCATCGTATCTATATGTCAGTCAGTCAGTTATGTGCCGTACGTGTTACACGCTTAGGCGATCATGTATCTTTTGATACATGACTGACGAGGCAGATTTTTTTCGCCATTTCTTTCTGCGATAGACCAGTTGCCATCCAAGGCTATAGAACCCGATCTGTCCTGCTATTTACCCATAGATGGGGGGAGAGGAGGATTCACACCTTTCCCAAGGGTATTAGCACGTAAGTGAATGTAATGGATTCGACTGGAATTCGAACTCGGCTCTCCGATTCCTTAATCCCAGCCGCTATCCATTACTCCTAAAATGTTATACTTGTTTTATTTTCGTATCTCCAATTTGTAATTTGCATGTTGGGCTGGTCCTTTTGTTAACAACCATGCATTCCGTCTTCTTGTAATTAATGTTTAGTCCTTTCTTCTCGCCTTTCTTTCCCTACCTTTCACTAGGGGTTCTTATAGTTTCCTTTCTGTGTCTACTATCAACACTGTGTCACCTGCATAGCTTATGTTATTAAGATTGTGGCTGCCATTAATAAATCCCGATAGGACTTCTAGTTCTCTCAGAATCGCTTCTCTGTATAGGTTGAATAAAACACATCTATGTTCTATTTTTTTTACAGTCTGCAAATATACAATCATAATCCTGTAATTCCTGTAAGTGTAGAAAAAGCGAAAACTATTATCAATAGGATTGCTATCAATTCTTCCTAAGCAAAAAGAGTTTTTTTTTTTCAAGAATGAATATTTTTATAGGTAAAAGAAGCCGTCTTATATTGAAATATTGTTGAAAAATTGATGACAGATAATCTTATTGATCTCCCTTTAGATTTATGGGATGCCATGCCTTTCATGAAGACATGGCTTAGAAAAAAAATCACTGATGACAACAGAGGGAGGCAAAAAATGCTGAAGGCTATGATGACAATCAAGTGGTTATTTGGAAATTTTTAAAATGAAAGATCATGAATAAAAGATTTTTAAAGCATTTTTTTAAATTATTTTTCCTTTCAAAATGATAATGTGCAATTTAATGCAGGTTAGTGTTTTTGAATAAGTGCAAGAAAAATTTGCTTTATTTCTAAATTATATCTACACTCCGTGCCAAATTATTATCGAGATAACTTTTTTTCTAATATTTCAAAAACCGTCCAATCAATTCACATAAAATTTTCAGTTGGCAACACTGACCTGCGCAATCACTAAAATTTTCGTACTTATCTGCGCAATGTAAACAAACTGGCGCCATATTTGTTATCAGCACGGTGAAAAAAAAGTTATCTCGATAATAATTTGGCACGCAGTGTATATAGTAAATTATAGAAAAATGAGGGAACCTGTTGCTATTGAGCCCTTTTGTTGAGAGAACCTGTTCTTAAAATATCTGAATCCCACCACTGTTTACACCCCGTTCTATTTTTTACAGTCTTCAAATATACACTCAGACAGTGTTTCCTTTTGGTGGGTGTTTAACGTTTCAGCAGATGATGCTGTTGGTGCATCTTGGGCAGTTTAGTAACTGTCTGCGAAATTTGATTTCTAACTTTTCCTGCACGATTTTCTTCATTTAATTATGATAATTCTTTCTTCTTCTTCAGCCGAAAAAACTCAATTCGTTTCTGTGGCGTCTACAGGGTGACCCTCCGTCTTATTTGTTCGGCACAATCCACGTACCCTACACCAAAGTGTGGGACTTCATTCCCGACAACACCAAGCAAGCTTTCGAGCAGGCTGACTACGTCTTCTTTGAGCTTGACCTCACTGACCCATACACGATTTCAGCCTTAGCCAAGTGCCAGTTGTTGCCCCATGGCGAGAACCTGTCCGACGTACTCCCGGAGGATATTTACCATCGTCTCAAACAACATCTGGATTACGTGAAATTCATGATGCCTGCCTGGGTGACGGACGATCAAAAAGGCCGCGGACTTTATGGGGATTACCTGTTCAATGCCATTGCCGGCAACTGGGAGAGGAAGCGGCCAGTTTGGATCATGCTAATGGTCAACTCGCTAACAGAGAGCGATGTCAAGGCCCGTGGAATTCCCGTTTTGGATTTGTACTTAGCCCAGGAGGCGGAACGATTAAATAAAATCAATGGAGCTGTAGAGAAAGTTGAGGAGCAATGCGTTCCTCTTAATGAACTCAACTTCTCACAGGTAAGACCAAATATTCTAAGCTTTCTGTCGGGATTTCTGGCACGAGGATTTATCATTATTTACATTACTTACACTCAGACTAACGGCCTCATCTTTATTATTATTATTATTATTATTATTATTATTATTATTATTATTATTATTATTATTATGTTTAAGTCATTGTGATGGTAAACTGGAGAGGCAGACACCTGATGAAGTCCCGATTGAACAATGGTCGAAATGTTGTATAATAACAACAATGACATGGACAAGTCCCGGCTGTGTTTTTCTTTTTTTCAATATTGATTCTATTTTCTCTCATGATAAAAATGTTTCACTCTTTATTCACCTATTATTTTAATCCGACACACACACACACACACACACACACACACACACACACACACACATATATATATATATATATATATATATATATATATAATGTAGGGGATAAAGTTGCTTTTAGGTCTTTTTCTTTCTTTTTTCAGTATTGTTGTTTTTTATTCGAGATTGTATCTCGATAAGAGTTTTAGGTTTTGCAAATTGTCCGTTGAATTCACTTACAGTTTCGTTTTTACATATATATATATATATATATATATATATATATATATATATATATATATATATATATATATATATAACTATACTCGTTTCGAAAAACCTTCGAATTTTTCATTTGTCATTAATCAAATCAATCTCGAAGGAAAAAATAGGTGAAACCTGGGTAGGTTTGTCTGGCTCACTAGGTTTATCTATCTATCTATCTATCTATCTATATATATATATATATATATATATATATATTACTATAAAACTCTGTGAACTTTGCTTGCATGCTCGAGTGTTTGCCACCGTGCACTCGAAGTCATATATAGAGAGTGGGGGAAAGAAAGATGTGAATTTAATATCATGTAGGAAGAGGAAGGGGAGAGAAGGAAATGAATTGACAGTGACACCAAAAGAAAAAAAAAACACTCTCTCTCTCTTACAAACTCTGTCTTTCCACCTCTCCCTCTTTCCACCTCTCCCTCTTTCCACCTCTCCCTCTTTCCACCTCTCCCTCTTTCCACCTCTCCCTCTTTCCACCTCTCTGTGATTGCATGCATGCTTATTTATATTTATATTTCAGCTTTCTTTAAAAAAAAACAAATATATATGGAATATTTAACAAATATTTTTTGGCATATTTAAAAAAATATTTTGTCAAATTAAAAAATATATTTAAATTAGTATGATTTTAAAATATTTTAAGTGAATAAGATTTAAAAATGCGCGTTCTTTATACAGTAAGAAAGTATTTTCATTTCAACTTTCTTCAAACACACAATATTTTAATATTGAAATCAACTTCAATGTTTTAGAAACTGAAGCGTCAGTGACCCAACTGATCACGGGTAGTACCAACTAAAATTTGCAAATAATTATTTGCGAACTACAAGAAGAGGTTGGCTGCTGTAGAAGTGAATAATGGTTATTATACAAAGTATTACATGAAGATGTACTCTTTTTTTGTCTTGTACGAATACTTTTTTCACCCATTAAATTGGATGAATAGGATTTATTTCTATTAAATCATTTTTCTGTTTTCTATGCCTATTTAGTTATTGTGCATCTGTGTAGAGTTAATTATATAGAAATTATATTTTTTCGTTCGTTGGAAATACAGTAAATTAAAAATAAAATTTTTGTTCCCCCACCGCCACTGTAAAGGAAGTTGTAACCTCTGTCTGCCTGTTATCGAACTCCTTCATGTTTTTAGAGATAGACACCCCCTAACCATATATATTCTTAAACTACATTACCCAGGGTACTTGGATGCGAAAATTTCATTTTGATCAAATGAAGTACCCCGAGGGAAACACCCCAACTGTTTTTTTTCACTTTTGTTTTAAATTAAAATTAAATTTCAACAAGAGAATGGCTCCTATCCAAAATATAGAAGGAGAAAGCCAGAAGATGGAGGTCATGTTGGCAAGATCAAAATGAAACAATATGGATGTCAAATTGAGCAAGAAATCGCCAATCAGTGGGTAGTGCCTTACAGTACATATTTATTTCGACAATTTAGCAGTCATATCAATATTGAAATCTGCCCATCAATTCATTCAGTCAAGTATTGCATCAAATACATATCAAAGGGGTCACTTCAAGCTGTTTTGGCATAAAGCCCCCACTGAAATTTTTTTTTTTTACCTTTGATTTAAATTTAAATTTGAACAAGGGAATGACTCCTATTCAAAATATAAACAGGGAATGTCAGAAAATAGAGGTTACATCGGCAATATATATATATATATATATATATATATATATATATATATATATATATATATATGAAAATTTCTCCGATTTAATCGGTAGAAGACAATATTATGAATAAAAATGACAATAGGAAAACTGGTAGAAGTTTGAAAAAACGCATTTATGAGCACAAAAGAGACCTCACAAAAAACAACTTAGCTAATGCAATAGTCATACATAGAAATAAATACAACCATAATTTTGATTTTAAAAATACTACACTCATAAAAAAAGAAAATCACTCACTCAGAAGGAAAATTTTGGAGAGTGCCGCCATAGAAAATTATCCAAATATCAATTTACGCCCAGGCTTTTTCCCTATTTCACCTTTCTTAACAAAATATACAATATAATGATAATATTCTCCACACGTGACAATCTCTGACGTTATTTTTCATTTTAAAAAAATATGAAAATAGCGTTTCTCTACATTCCAGTTGCTAGGTACATTCTGTTTTTGTTTTTATTAGTTACTTTGTTCATTTAATTTCATTTTCGTATTTTGCTTTGATAAAGTCCACATTGGACGAAACGCGTCAGCAATTACAAGTTTTCCTATTGTCATTTTTATTCATATATATATATATATATATATATATATATATATATATATATATATATATATATATATAGGTTGGTGCAAAATAATGACGAAATAATGTCGTTTTTGACATATTTTTAACGTCAAAAAACGACATTATTACGTCATTATTTTTTGCAACAATAAAATATATATATATATATATATATATATATATGAGAGTACACTGTGGTCAACAACGAGTGACAACAATCTGCTGTTTTACCTATTATTTCTAATCTGAGTATGTACACACATACACGCTCTCTCTCTCTCTCTCACACACGTGTGTGTGTGTGAATTTGTGTGTGTGTGCATGTGTGTGTGATCCACAGACAGATTGTTCGCTGTATCACAGCTCATTAGTGTGGCTAGACATCCGATTGTCTCATTTGGCATCAGTCGGAGATTTTTCCCTGAGATATCGCGGAAAGAAAGGTGAATTTTTACGTACAGTGTAAGGCCGGATATAAGAGAGTTGTCGGGACATATATCCGGGTTTCTCTTATATCCGGGTTTGGTCTATTTTGTTTAGGTAAGTATGGGCTCTAATTTGGGACCAGAGAAGATCTCTCTTATATCTGGGTTTGTCTTATATCCGGGTCTCTTATATCCGGGTTACACTGTATTTATTTTAGAACAAACACGACATATAACAGTGCTCAATTCATTGAAGAGCTTTTGCATATGTATCAATCATTTCATCCGGGGCAATGGAATAAATCACAGCAAAGACGCTAAGCGTTAGAAAATATGCGAAGAAAAAATACTATTCAGGAAAGAGAACGAATAAGAGCGGAATAAGGATTGATATTGCATTTAAATATCAAAATCGATTTTTTCTTTTCGTCCTTAATTACACCATGCGCACATCCAGAAGAGCCAAGGCAACTTCTCTTTGAACTAATTGAAAGTCTTATTTGGCATTTATCTTGTCAATACACACACACACACACACACACACACACACACACATATATATATATATATATATATATATATATATATATATATATATATAGTAATACGTCGAGCCTAGAATTATCCTCAACAGAATCCAGAAAGCGCTGGACGGCAGTTTCGTCCTATCTGGGACTCATCAGCAGTGCGCCTCCACTACGGAGAATCGAACCCGGACCGTTTCGATACAACTCAAACGTCATACCAACTGTACCACGGTAACGGCGAAGACGCAAACTAGACTCGATATAGCGCCGCTATTCACTCAGTTCCGCAGCGATACTCATCCAAGTATTTAGATAAACAGTGCGCCAAAGGCCACGACTGCTTTTTGACCCTTAGCCGTTCCATCGCAGAGCATTAGCTGGGTCTAGCAAAGGATATAAAGGATTATCATTTATATATATATATATATATATATATATATATATATATATATATATATATATATATGTGTGTGTGTGTATGTGTGTGTGTGTGTGTGTGTGTGTGATTTGCGCAAATTTACATGCCATGCTTTAGGAAGGTCAAGACCGACTTTGTATTTCAACCCCCATCGATAGTGGAAATAATCGATTTTTTCATGCTTCACGCCAGTTTTGTAGTTTGCGGCCATTTTCTGCTGACCAGGTGAGGATAACTGGCTGCCACGAAAAGGAAGATTATTGGCCATTTGAGGCTAACAGCTGACTGACACGAATGTTTTTCGATCTTGGGAAAAATTAAATCTTCATGGCATGGCACTTTACTCCCGATTGGCTCATTCGATTGCTTAACGTTGATTCTGATTCCGCAGAAGTGGGTTGGGTGTGAAAAATTATTTGTTGTTAACATTCTTTTTTCAGTCAGATTTAATGTTTAGTATAGAGCTTAAAAAAATTCGCAGTGTGAGATAGGCAAGAAGTAAGGCATGTAGCAACATCAGCACGGAAAAGGGCACTCCTTTAAAGGCAAGGAAGGACAAAAAATATTTTAAGTCAAGTGATAGCGATCGCTGTATTACGATTTTTGAATTACGGACAATGGGCCATACTGCTAATATATATATATATATATATATAATTTTTTATTTTGTTTAAGAAAGCTTTTCGATAGTATTTGCCTCTAGTATATCGATAGTGTTTGCCTCTAGTATATCGATAGTATTTACCTCACTTTTTAACCACTAAAATAAGCTTTACGCAAGACGCACTTTTTGGGGAATTATATATTTGCTCTGTCATGAGACATTGAGCACATTTTTCTCTTCAATGCCGATTTTTGCCTCATATTTGATAATTTACTAGTAAAATATAATATCCCTTGCATTTTTTAATGGGCATGGGATGGTGTTTCTTTTGCGTGTTTCAGCTACATTTTGCTGGTACAATACTTGAGACTGCCACCTATTAGGTATTTCTCTACTTACCACGGTGAGTTTGGACAGAAGGCCGACTATCCAAGATTTTACATTTTAGGTTCACCCTGGTGAATCTATGAAACCGGCATGGCAGCAAACAATGTCAGCCGCCTGGCGATTGCGTTTAGGTATATGCATGAAACTTTAAGTCGTGGCTGGTCAGAAGAGACACCTTTTTGGGAATAATATATATAATGAAATGGGATTAAGTCTGACAATTATTTAATATATTTTCTGTTTATATGTTATTTTTTATATATATAATGTATTTTAAATAAATGCTCAGTTTTTAATTAAACAGTATTAATTTCGTAGAAAATATACGTTCCCCAACAGGAATCGAACCCGTATTCCTTATACGGAAACTGTCATTTGATCTGACGTGCTGTACAATTCAGCTACAGAGAAGCGTCTGGTTAGCAAAGTCCGAATTATTGTTTATAAACATAAAGCCTTCGACGTTTTTTCTTGGTCGATCATATCTGGTCACGCAAATAAAACAGAGCACTTACTTAAAATTCATTGTAGCAATAAAAAAAATAATGTATAAAAAGAAAATATATTAAATAATTGTCGGGCTTCATCAATTTCCTTGTTGTCATTGTTTACATTAAAATACGTTTCAGGAGCAGGAATGATCGATCGAGAAAATGTTCGGTCTAGTCTAGTTGTACTATTATCTATCGATTCTCCCGTCGGGTTCGACGTATGAGGGTCAAGCAGAACAGTTTGCAGGAAACTGACAGCCCGACACCGGCACATGAGATTCGATTATAGTGGTGAAGGTTTCGTGCAGGACAATCCACACTTTTTGAAGGGCCGAATACAGAGACCTGGTGCACGACGTGTCAC